AATAAGCTTTAACCATGGTTCTGATACCATGTTAGAAAGTGGTTTTTAAGCCTAATTCAACCCCACAAATCCGGCTTATGAGATGAGGTTTGTACTTCATTTATATATTATAGATTGTCCTTATCTCTAGTCGATACAGAACTTTCAACGTTACACATGAATATTTTCGTAGATAACATTTATCTAAAGAAAAATTACATAAAATTCATATATAAAGTTTGGCGTGTTAAGATGAAATATTTTTCAAAAGATGTTGTTTATACGTAATTAACTAAAACATATTACAAAGTTGGTGGACCGACGGGGTGGTTCACTAATTTTTTTTATTTTTTTTAGTTTGTTTTAATGATAAAATGGAAAATTGATTCTTAAATACATAAAATCAATATATAATTGATTCTTAATGTGATTCAAAAATCTCAAATGCAAATCTAATTACAAAATTGATATTAGAGAATATAAAAATAAATTCAAAATATTAAACTCATCTCGTAGAGGATTATGTTTGTTTGATTTTATCTTTAAATTAATCCTCAAGAATAATGAAGAGTGTGATAACGTTTTTTTCTATTTTTGTGTATATGATTATGAATAAATCAATTATTTTCTAGCTTAAATTTGGTTTTATACTCAAGTTTAATGTATTTTGTATTTTAGTTGTTTAATATTTGTTTTATCTCTATTTTTTTTTTGTTTAAGATGTGTGAAAATGAATAAAGAGCAATTCAAGTGGTAAAATATAAACAAAAGCTCAAGGAAACATGTTTGGAATAAGGAAATATCAATTTGAGGCAAAGACTTGCGTCGAGCGCCACTAGGATCACGCCTAATGCTTCAATTAACTGTCAAAATGTCTAAGGTTGAACGACACATTTGTAGGGTTGAACGTCATCAACCCTTGTACAGATAACGTTGAACGATGGAAAAGTGGTGTTGAGTGTCATTTAGTTTTGAAGAACTTATGTTGGGCGATGTAAAATTGCATTGAGCGGTGGTTTAATAGAGAGCTCATTTCGTGTTTTAACTAATGGCTCTCGACAATGCATATATGATGTTGAGCGTTGGCATTGCAGACATGTCAAATAAGTTATTTATTCATGTCTTTCTTAAGGCTTTTGGATATTCTCTTCCTCCCACAATTTCTCTCCATTTAGATCTATTGAGATAGGTCCTTACGGGTTGTTTTGGGTGTTGAGAAGTTTTCTCACTCCTCCTTGGATATTCAATCTTCATGTTTTTCCCCTTTTAAGGTTAACGAGGGAGATAATCTACAAATCGAAGGAATTAATGTGAATGGGAGACATAATTGGAGCATATGACAACTACCAAGAACCTTGAAAAAGGGCTTGCATCTCCTTTTTTATTTCTATTTCTTTGCTAAGGGCTTGCATCTCCTTTTTTATTTCTATTTCTTTGCTATATCTTTTATTTGTAAACCTTAAGTTATCCATTATGGAGAGCTAGTTTTATTTGTTGAAATCATATGTAATGAATTGTTTTTTTTGTATTTGTGATGTTAATACATATGTTTTTTCTTTTCAATGTTAGTATTTAATTTTCATGCTTAATGTATGCTTTGGTTTGACCACTCATGCATGATTTGTGGTTCTTGAGGCATTGAAAGATGTTTATTGTTAATAGATGGATAATATTATAAATTGGATAATTAAGGAATATATAATTTGTTTTATCTTGTTTTTAGACCTATCTACAAGCATGACAGTTTTATTTTGTGCTATAATTTTTTTGTTAATGGCTATATGTAGTTTCTTGGTCAAACAGTTGTGTATGTCTCATTAAACTAAATTGACAAAATTTTATGCTTGATACTTTAGAATATATATATAACAATATATTTCTTTTGTTTCATTTTCTTTTATATCAATTGGTCCAATTATTACTGTTTCAATTTGATCTATCAAAGTAACATGTTATAAAAATCTGAGAACAAGAGGGTGAAAAAAAAGTTAATTAAGTGAACCAATGAGCCAACCCGTTTAACTCATAAACCTGTGGTGGGTCTGGTCGAGTTCGAATTTTTTTGGATGGAACCCACTTATGTTATATGGTCCCATCTTCTTCAACTATTCTTCTATGATGATAAGTTTCAAATTGTCAATATATAAGAAGAACTTCAAACCTATTGCCAAGGTGATTATATTAAGAAATGTATTTTAAACCTAACTCAATCTAAAAAACCTGTTTGAAAGATGAGATTTATATATATATATATATCACATCAACTTTAAATTAACCTCTTTAGTTGATGTGATTCAAGAAAAAACTTTGACAAGTAAAAACTTGGCAAAGAGAAGCTTGACAATGGTTTCCACTCTAATTTTTATCAAGATCCAAATTATACACAACATAATATTTTATAATATCTAGTTTTTAAGCAAATATCACTTGATACACTAGAATTGCTTTTCTATCAAGTATTAATTATTATTTTGATGGTTAAAAGATCACATGAAAATACTTTTTCACCAAGACATTACTAACTGACAATTTACATTGAAAACTTTAAAATCTAGAGAAAGACTAATTAAATCTAAGATCTACTTATCGAAATTTATAAACATTTAATGAAACAAAATGAAAAATTGGATACGTGCCAAATAAATGATGATTACGAAAAAAAATAATTAACCTAACTTATTAATTATATTATTTCTTTGTACAGAGGTAAAATAATTACATAATTTAAGGTCCCGCGTGGCAGTGCCACATTTTCGGATCAGACAGAGAAGGGTGACACCCTCTGCGCAGCGCATTGTTTCATCCATTTTCTCTGTACATTTATTCCCATTTCTTCCCTTGTGCTTCTCTCCAACCTAATCTACCATTACCTTTTCTCGCTCAAGACATGGCTGCTTCTCACAGATCGCTTACACGTGCGTTCATGCATTAAATAACTTCCTCAGATGCTCATGCTTTCCTCGTGGCTATATAGATGTGTATTCGTTGCTAATTGATTTTTGTTTTCTGGTACTCGTCATTCCAATGATATGTATAAAGGCCATGTTTTTAGTTTCATCAAATTGGATCTCTCGTCTTAGATTTGCAACATTTGCATTTCGGAGACTAGAAAAATGTGGCGAACAAGACTGATAGTGTTGAATGGAATAGCAATTGATTGAAAATGGACATGCTGCTCGTCTCTATGCCTTGTGGTTGTGAAATGTTGCTCTGGTTGATGTTGCAGAACCTTTTGCATGTGATACACAAATTTAAGTTGGCCCTTTTCTCTTGTGGGTTTGTTCTTTTGTGCTATTCTAGTGGTAAAACAGAACTTTCCAATTCACTTTTACATTGCCCCCAGGGAATTTTGTTGATTGACAGTGTTGTTTAGGAACTTTGTTGTATATACTATATGTTTATATATTTATATACCTCTCTTCTGCATGTTCTTTAGCTGGAGCTGCTTTGCTTACTTTGGTCATGGCTTCTTTAATTAAGGAACAAGTGTATGACACTGTACATTCCATAGTTTTATATTGGGATAACAAGACTGGGCGTTTGAAGTTAAAGTGCATTCTGATTCGGTCTACCTCGTGTACTTTTAGTAAATAAGAAATCATTAGTCTTTCAAGTTTTTTCTATTTATTATATTTACAGTAAAAACTTGATTTTATACTGTACTTAAATTTGGGAAATGAAAATTATAAAAGAGGCTCTAGATTTTTTAGATGAATTTTCTTTTGTTCTCCCTTAGGTCTGACAGATAAGAAATGTGTGCCATGCAATCTGAAGGAATTACGGCCCATGAGTGAGGATTCAGCACAGACTCTAATGCCACAGGTTTGTATCTGTCAATTCAAGGTTTATAAGTCTCATGACTCATGGTATTGGCTATTGATATTGAGTGGTTAGGTTCCTGAGTGGAATTTGGTAAACGATGGTGGTGTCATGAAGCTGAGGCGGTCATGGACAGTAAGGACCTTCTCCAAGGGATTGGATTTTTTTCGAATAGTATCTGTTCTTGCTGAAAGTGAAGGTGTCGTGTTCTGTTTTCGTTTTGTTACTGATCTCATTTTGAAGGGTACATACAATAAATGACCAAGAGGATGTTTATAATGCAGGTCATCATCCCGATCTTCACCTTGTCGACTGGAATAATGTTACTATAGAGATTTGGACTCATGCTGTTGGTATGAATTATTCATTGTCCAACTTTTTAAGTTATATAATCTCAAGCTGGTAGATAAGAAATAATGTGAGAGTACCATGTGTTAGTTCATGTACAAATTTGCTCGACGCAAAAGGCACATTTTTTTCTTCTCAGGCTCAAGCTTTGGAAAGCGTGAACCCCCATTTGCGGTTCCAAGATACACCCTAAATCAGCACAGTTCAGGCTCTGGAAATACGTTGAAGATTTTAACCCACATATTTTACAAAGGACTCTGGTTTTAATCACTGCTTCTCTGGAAAGCAATGAGTTCCCCCCTCTTTGGAGAGAGAGAAAAATAGCATACTCAGTGGATTTATGAAACTTACCCTTTGTTTACCCGAGTCCCCCTAGAAGCTCCTATCATAAAAAAAATAAGCTTCAGTTTCTATTTGTTCTTTTGTAGAAAGTGTGTGTCGTGAGAATAACATAAAATGAAGACAAACTAGAAAGGAAAAAGGTTTTAGATACCTTTATAGGAGTCCAACTAGAAAACCCCTTTGAGATCATACAGTATTTTGGAAGTAAAATTCATGAAGCCGTGGAATGGTTAACAGTGAAGACAACATATGAAAATGTGCTATATTAGAAAAATTTAGGACATGCTTGGTCTAAGAAAATGTGTTTTGCTTTCGTTTTCAAATATTCCTATAGGTAATAGTAAAAGTAAAATATTTTAAAAAATAAAATAAAATAGAAAGTAACATTTTTTTTGTAATTAAAAATAAAAAACAAGAGAGATGAAAATTGATTTTTTTTTCTTCTCAGAGTAAACCCTCCTTTTTGAAGAATACGTTCATCTTCTTCATTTAGACAATGACGGAAAACAGTTGAATCAAATAGACATGTTGATCAATTTTATGTATTTTCGACGAACAAATCACTAAATTAAATAGGTAAGTTAGTTGAATCATGTACCAATTTTTCTTCATGTTATCCATATTCTGTCTCGGGTGGAATATATTTCGATAGGAATGAACAGAAATTGTGCAACTTTTTTTCTTAAATACTCTTTTCCATAGTCTTGTTAATTATGCTTCACCGGGTTTTCCCTCCTTTTCTGTCTTCCTTTCCATTTTCTTACTAAATTCGTACAAGCTGTACCCTAATTTGTACCTTTACTAGAAAATTTCATTCGTATAGCACAAAATGGTAGTAAATGATAATAAGCTAAATATATTATGATATACTTCTTAGATCTTTGATATTGATTTTGCGTCCATCTCTCAAGCCCCTGGGTATGGCTACTTATTAAACTCATTTGCATCCGTAGTAGATGGTTTCAGTAATATCATAGCTTAACAAATGCTCTATTTTAAGATCAGCAGAGATTTGGAGGCTCAATAAGCTTGCTTTCTTTGTGGTTTTAAACATTTATTTTTCTTAAATTTACTACCTAATACATAGAATACCATAAACGAGCTTCATGTTTTTGCAGGTGGGTTGACAGAAAATGACTTCATACTTGCTGCTAAGATCGATAAGCTTGATGTGCTTGACCTACTTAGACGGAAGCCTTCTGACTGAGTCAACAATGCTAAGGAGTATTACCTGTCTGTTGGCAGTAATGTTGTTTTAAAATGGAGCATCTCACATAGCATCGAGTTCTGTTTTCAGGCTAGTATTTTCATTTACTTGATTGCTTAAAGCTTCGTAGAAAATCTTTGGAATGATCTTTTTTCAACCAAAAGCCTGTTAACGTTAGTGATTACACTTTACGTAATTGAGATATAAAATGATGACATTCTTTTTAATAAAACCTCAGTAGATAAGCTTGTATATGTGCTAGATAATGATAATTCTTTTTACAATGTGACTGTCTTTGCAAGGAATCTATTTTGTTGATCCAACAATTACTTAAATTTGAGTAACAATTTAAATCATTTTAATGAATAGAACTACTTATAAAATTATATCTCACTTATGAGATGTGGTTGTGGCACAAGAGCTCCAACGAATTTTGTTAGAATAAACTGTTAATAGACTTCTTAACATCTGAGTTCATGCCTAATTAAATTTCAAAAATCTGATATATAAGATGTGATTTTATTTCATTTATAAATTATAATTTGTGCCTATTTCTAGTTTACGTGATATCTCTAATAATACTTATAAATGAGGTTCTCACTTCATTATCCCATTAACTATAGAGACAAATAATATGCATAAGAAGTAATATAAGTTTGAATGAGAAAACATTAGTGGTTCTTTTTCAACCCAAGCACATCTTGCACCTTCTAATTGACTTAGTTCCAAGTCTAAAAGTTTGTTAGGTACAAACACACAATAAACCATAAAACAATACAATACAAGCTGCCTTTCTCTCTAGTTTCTTCCGATAAAGTAAGGAAGGACAAGCAAGCACATCTTATTTTTGACACTCAACAGCATGAAAGAAAATATTTAAGAAAAATACTCATTGGAAGCAACAAATATGGGTTGCAATCGCTGAAGAACCTCTTCATTGTTTGTCCAATCCAAGTTAGCCCACCATTCTTGCTGTCCTTTAATGGACTTTAAGTTGACTGCATTGACACTATCTAGTGGTAAAGTTTTAAACTTATGACAGTTATGTATCCTTAACAGCTCCAAAGAGGACCAGGCCAATGTATGAGTTGTGCATATACTTTTGAAGTTAGGCAAGTTAACTAGCAGAAGTATTTCCAGTTTTGGAAGCACGTCCCTTTCTCTTTCAATGTCTTCTCCAATAAGTTCTTCAATTATTGAACAATCTTCAAGTTTCAGCTTCTGAAGTTCTGAAAAATGTTGAATTGCTCCATTGCTGAAAATTTGACTCAGTCTTGGACAATTTTTCAATGACAGAGTTTGTAATCTGGAAAATGTTCCACTGTGCAGGGGGCCTCTAAAAGCACATTTTAAATTGAGCAAATTTTCCAAATAAAGTTGCTCCAAATTTGGTAAGATGACTGCCGTTTTTATTTGGATTCCGTTCATGACATTGCTACTTGTTTCACCTGACACAATTGTCAAAACTTGGTTGCATCTTTTAATCAAAAGACCACGAATGCGTTCCAGACAAGCTATGCCAGCAAAATTGGACAATTTTCTTATATCTTTATGGCAGACTAATTCAAATGCATCAGTTTTTGGTAGTACCTCAATAATTGCCGGGTCATCCCTCTGTCCACCATTGCAGTACCTCAAATAATTAGTAATTTTATATTCAAAGAATTCAAGTATTTGAGGTCGCCTTGAGTTCTGGCATCCTACAGTGAATCTAAATGAATTCTGCTTGTTATGCCATGATTTGCTTCTTGAAAGAAATTCTCCAAGAATGATTGAGGAGGGAAAACAACATCTGAGATGAGTTACATTTTCCAAAGAAGCCACATGTGCCAGCACATTATTAGCATCATTGCACCACTGTTCATAGGATATGATTTGAATAGTTAATTCTTCCAACCTATGAAGCTTTGAAATCACATGAACATTTTGAGCTTCATTATCTTCACTTGCAATGAATGGGATTCGCAGGCATCTTAGCTTAGTCAAGAATCCAATTTGTAGAGGTATGAAAATTACTTTAGTATCACGTATGTCAAGGACTTCTAGAAATTGAAGTAATCCTATTTCAGATGATAGTGATTCCAATAGCTCACACCTGTTCAAGAATAAACCCCGTAGACCAGTCAATTTTGATAGAGATGATGGCAGTTGTGTAATCATGCTACTATACAAGTCTAGCAGAAGTAGACTGCTCATGTTCTCAAAAAAACACTCTGGTAGTGCAGTTAGCTCGGGATTTTTTCTCAGCAACAGAGTCAAAATCGTGCTGCAATCTTGACTTCTTCGTAACTCATGTACTTTTCTCATAGAGACCCACCTAGCCTGCTGCCAAGCTCTTGATTTTGAGAGATTTTCAGATTCTTCACCGTCTTGGAGATAAAAGCTACACTCAGGATCTTTAGAGGATATGTGCAATGCAAGTTGTCTCATGCAATGGTTCATGTTAACATATATCATTGCTCCCCCTTTCTCTAGTAGAGAGACATTAGCAAGATGTTCTAATATGTCAATACCACAATTGCGTGCACTTTGATATGACCTTGTATCATTTATATCACCAAGTAAACCTTGTGCTGCCCAACACTCCACTAAATAATCAGAGTAAACCTTGCTATCTGCAGGATACAGTGAAGTGTATAGAAAGCATTTCTGCTTCCTTTTATCATTTAGTTCATCATAACAGAACTTCAGACACGAGTACAACTCTTCTAAACCTTGGCTTTGAAGTTCTGGCCATGGTTTAAGATCTTCAAGTCCTGCCCACCAACTAGAAGCAGACTCTTTCAATTTAAAAGAGTTTGCTATATTGTAAATGAGAAGTGGAAGACGAGAGCATCTTTTGCATACAAGTTTTGCAGTTGGTTGAATGTCAGGGGAATCAATCTTAGGATTGAAGGCATAGACAGTATCTCTAAACATCTTCCATGCTTCATCGGGAGATAGCTCCGCGACTTTGATGACCCTCTGCACCCTATTCAACTTATATACAAGAGGGAATCGAGTGACAATTACCACCTTACTGCCATTGTTATTATCACTTGGGATTCCTAACAGCTCCAAATTGATGGCATCCTCAACCTCATCCAAAATTAATAAATATCTTTTCTTCTCTAGCTCTCTGTGTATTCTTCTTGCAATATCGTCGCTATCCTCCTTGTTGATCCCTTTGTCCAACATCAACCGATGAGCAATTTTCTCTTGAAGCTTACGATCATTAGGTGTGACTTTTACAAAGATGACAATTTCAAACAGTTTAGCTATCTCTTCATTGTTGTTTAGATTCCGCATTATTGTTGTTTTCCCCACCCCTTTTGTTCTACATACTCCAATGATCTTGATCTTATTATTTTTCAGCAAAACCAGAGTATTATCCAAAGCGCCTTGAAGGGTTGGATATCCACTTATCTGTGGAACATTTAACTCCTTTAAAACAGGCTCTGGTGGTTTATCAACAAGAAAATCTTTTAAACATTCATCATTCATAAGTTGACGAACACAATTGCTCTTCTTCTCCATTTCTTCACTCAGATCGGAACGCTTTAGAATCCGCCACCAGGGTAGGGTCTCTTCTTCATATTTAAGCTTCAGCTTCTGTACTTCTTTTGTGGCCTCTGATACCCTGTTTGTCCACAGTTTGTAAGCATTGGTAGTATCTTTATGGCTGTTTCTTTGAGCTTTCATCTCTTTATCCTTCTTTATTGCATGTAGCATCTCTGTATCTTTAACCAAAATGTTGCAATTGTCATCCAGATTTTTGGAAAATGCAATTTTAGATGCAATTGTAGTATGCATTTCTCCAACCCCAATCGATCCCATCTCTCCAACAAGAGGGCCAACAAGTTCAAGCTCAGACATTATTTTGAAAGCCTAAGATAACAAAGAAAAGTTGAAAGTGTAAAACTACTACACAACTTGAACCCTAGGCATCAGCAGTATAGAATTTTGAAGTATAAACAAACACATCAGGTTATTCAATATGAATATGAAACACTCCAAAGCTTCAACATGTAAAAACTGATATTGAACCGTTTATTAATCACCATTTACTAAATTGCATGTAATCATTAAGAAGCACACAAATATTTTTTTTTTTGTTAATATTAAAGGTTTTACGGATATATTTTTAGATAAGGTAAAACCAGTGAGTGTGGAATTAGCAACAGTTAAAATGAAACTAGTATACAAAATGAAATTAGCTAGAACAAGGGTGATCATGAGAATTGGGATCTATCTGAGGGAAACATACCGGAGCAAACACAGTTAAGAATTAGAATCCATGCCGACAGTTAAGAAAAAAGATTCATGGTGTCTACTTCTGCCAGCAGCTCTTGTGCATAGATTGTTCTGACTTTTTAAAATGACGAATCCAAGGTGTTTAGTAATTGCTCTCTGAGTTTTTTTGAGTCAACGCATGAAGTCTACGATATTCATGCCTTTTCTGTAAGATTATTTTCTTCTTTTTTTATAAAAATATTAGTACCTTACTTTTTTTTAAAAAAAAATCTATTACTTTATGTAACTTTTATTTATAATACATGCCTATAGAAAGTTAGAGCATTCATATTTTATTAGAAATCCTTAAATAATTAAATAAAGAAAGTATTACAAAGGTACGTCTTCTAAATAAGGAGTAACAAAATGACAAAGAAAATATTTTCTGCTACGATATTTTTTAAAATTAGTCTTTTATAGAATATTGTATATAGAAGATTTGTTTGTATTTTCTAAATCAAACATTATACAATGAAAATTTTCAATCTTTAGAAAAAAAATTAAACTAAGAATATCTATATTTTAAAATTTATAGGGGTGATCTTATCTGAAACATCCATTTTTAGCAACTTACAAATAAAACAAGATATTATAAGATTACTGGTAAACAAAATAGATTGTGTTTATCTATATATATATATATATATATATATATATTATATATATATATATATATATATAAATAATAAAATTATCTCTAAAAGTAAATAACAATCAAAAATAAAATGTTTATAAAACAAATAAAGATGATTTAAAGTTTAATAAAACTTCTATACAAAATCATCCTAAAATTGAAAACTACTATGTCATAGTCGGCCTTCCACCAAAGGCGTATTACATATCTACTTCTCATCTGTTCACATCATGAATGAGACAAATAAACACAAGAAAATACAAAAAGATGATAGGGTAAGCTAGTGTGCAAAAGAAGTTATCTTAAAATAATTAAATCATATTAAATGTAAGTTAAACATGAGATTAAATACAATAAATGATATAGATACACACCATAAGTTGACATTAACTCAATTATCTCGATACATACGTTTGACATTGGGCTTCATCTGAAGCGTGCACTCGTAATAATATGTATATTTTGCAGAGTCATAAATATAGAAGTTATCACCCTATCCCTCACAAGGTTAATCTCATTCGCACCTAGGACTAAAATATAAAATAGTCCAGTGGCTAAGATCTACTGCCATTTTTTTCCTTCCCACCATTTTTCTTTATATGACTTGAATAGTTGGTAGAATATAGGATATTTCCTTATTGATCTCTTAAATGTCAATGCATACATTAAGATCATCACCACAAAAAATTTCTCCTTGAAATTCTCTCAACACCATCATTATACTTGTTTACAACCATAATCATCACTACAAATAATAATAAACAGTATTATAAGCATACATTAATTCCATTACAATCTATTTCATACCACCAAAGAAGAAAAGAAGATGCAACATACAAATTGGCACTCAAAAGTAGTGCTTAGTGTCAAACCTTTTGCAAAAAGTGGCGCTCAACGATAGTTTTACGTTCAGTACCATCCTTCTCATAAAAGTTGGTTCAGCAATGTCCTGCTGCCGCTCATTGTCAAGACATTCACAAAATATGACGTTCGATGGTACAAACTTGTACTTAACGGCTTTGAGTTAAAATGCTCCTAGTTTGTCACCGCTCACTACTATACCATATACCATTAGATGAAATTATGTGATTTAGGGGAAATGGACATATTCAATTGATTAATTTGGTATTCCTTTCTTAGTACTTTGGTAAAAAAAATTAATATTAGGACACTTACCAATTTACTCAATTTCTTAGATTATAATTCCCTCAATTAACAAAAAATCAACCAAAACACACAAAAACACAACAATCATTCAAAACATGCCAAATTCATAAAAAATAATCAAATTTTATCCTCAATTGCATTAGAGCAACAACATGAAGATCATCAAATTTATCAAACTCATGCACACAAAAAACAACTAGTTTCCCCTTACCTTACTCAACTACTCACAAGACCTTAATCGACGAAGCTCCTCCTAATTGACAGATGCTCTGTCTACACATAGAAACACCATAAGAACAATTTGGACATAAAATTACTGATTAGCAGAGAGACTCATATAGATGATTAAAAAGATGCATGCTCACATGTAACCGATAACAAAAAAGACGAAGAAAAAAAGATTGAAACTCAACTTAGACGAACAAAGAAACTAAACGGTTCAAATTGGAAAGCTCGCCACAATGATCAATTCTACGAAATTCTTCAATCAAACGAACCAAAAGAACGAAATCTTAGATAAAAGTCAAAGAACTTTAGAAAAGTGATTTCTAAAGTGATAATGTGTTTTAAAATAATGAAATTTGTTCCTAAAAAAACTATTTATATTAAAACATTATAATATTAAAATAATCGAGTCTTACTATATTTAAACTACTATCACATCTAAAATGTCATTTTCTATATCTTTATATTATCTTTCAAAATAACACCTAACAAAAATTAAATTAATAATAATTGAAATTTAACATAGTTTTTCATCTTTTGAACTTTCATTAGGATAAGTGGTAATAAATAAAATTCATGAAAATGATATCAAATTATTATATTATAGTAAATGGAAGGTCTTTATTGAATTGCGATGATTAAACTAAATTTATGATAATAAGTTAGAAAATAAAAATAATTATACACAAAACCATCAAAATAATATTTTACATTATAAAATAAACAACAAAAATATTAAATGAAGTAAAAAGGAACTCATGTTTGTCTTAAAAACAATTTGATACATCTTTAAACGAAATCGCTCAATGAAAAAAAAATATATATAATTAGGGATATGATAACATGGAAAGTGCCTTAGATATTTAAAAAAACTTTTCAGATGTTAAATTAGTTCAATTGTTGAAAGATAATGAAAATGTTTTTAGTAAAATAAAAGTTGTTTGAAAGAAAATTTTTTTAAGGATGAGAGAAAATAAAGAAGATAAGTTATTTATATTACCTAGTAAATGAATTGAACACTTAAAATTAAGAGTCAAACATTCTCATGTAAAAAAACAATGAATAAAAATATTAAAAAGTACTATAAGTATTCCTATGTGTAACATAAAAACTATTTAAAACTATAATTGATAATACATCATTTCAAAATAACTATATAAACGTTCTGTGTGATAAGAGAAAACATAAGTTGAAGTCGTATGTGAATTTCGTGGATATAAAAAAAGCCAAACAATTAGTAGAAAAGAGAAAAAAATTATGGTAAAAGACTAAGAAAAATTATAAAACTAAAGATTAAAATATATATATAATAAATTGTGAATATTTTAATAATTTAAACAAAGACGAGATTGAGGATAAATTTGTGTCATCCTATTCTTAGGTGATCTACTTTGAGGATCATTTCAACCATTATTAAAAAAGGTTACATCAATCTTATTCCACAATTTTCTTAAGTAGTCTATTTTGAGATCACTCCAAAAATTGCATCAATCTCATTCAAATTAAGTGATCTACTTTAAGAATCACTCTAACAATCACTAAAAATGGTCACATCAATCCCTCATTCCAAAATTATCTTATAGTGTTAGGAGTTTTTCACATTACTTATTCCTTTCCAAAAAGTCTTTTTAATGTATTGTACATTGACAATACATATTAATTAAAATTAGAAGTATTAACAACGTATCCAAATGTAATTTTAGGGACTTCTTACCGATAAACAAATTAAAAAAAAAATGTGTTTCTCGTGGATTTAGTCTTTATCAACATTATATTTAGTGCTGTTAAAATGAGTTGTAATCCGCGAGCTAACCTGGCTCATCACGTGCTTGAACCGGGTTGGGTTGAAAAAAAATGTAATTTTTTTATGCGGGTTAGTTTTCAACCCAGCTCACTTAGAACCAGGTTCACCGGGTTGAACCCGTGATTAGCCGGGTTGACTCCCTAATCCACCTAATTTAATTTAATTATTTATTATTTAGTGTTTCAATATTATTAGTTAGCATTTTTTTATTATACCGTAGATGTGGAAGAAGAAAAATATGTTTCATGAGAGAAAATTATTATAGATTTATCTATTCAAGACTCTAATATTATATAAATGGATAAATGATACAAATATTATCAATATTTAAAATTTATTTGTTGGCCTTTTGAACTTGTTTTTGGATTATACTTGGATTGTATAATATATATTTTTTATTTTGAATTGTCTTTGAAGTTTAATATCATTTTAGAGTGAAATTGATTTAGATTTGAATTAAAAAAATTATTTTTTTTATTTAAAAATAACTTATAATCAAGTAAGTCAGTGATCCAACCTGTTTAATCTACCAACTCGTGATAGGTCAGACGAAGTTCGAATTTTTTCAGCTTACTAATAAATAAATCGTATTGGATTGACTCACTAAGTTACGTTTTGGAAACTTTAATTATACTATTGTTTGCAACTAAATTGACTCCAATTCTTTTCTACACGTGTCAAGATGGTAAAACCCAAAATGATATGTGTGATGATAGGAGAAGTTGTAAGGAATTATTTCCGAATTGAAAATAATTTCCAAATTGTGTCTTTCGAAATGTAATTATTTTTAAAAATATTCAAAATTATTTGATCCACCGTATATTTTCAGATTTAGAATTATATTTCGAAATGTAATTATATTTAAATATACTCAAAATTGTTTGATCCACAGTATATTTTCAGATTCAGAATTATATTTCGAAATATAGATTCCAAAGTGTATTGAATGCATTCTAGAATGTATAATTCGAAACATGTTTCTAGATCTAAAAGTACTTTTGGGATTGCATAATTTGGAATTCATCTAAAAAGGAAGTGCAAGGATAAATTTTACCTTTTTATTATAATTTTAATTAGGGGTAATTTGGGGTTTATGGATTTCATAGGAGTGCAAGAAGAAAAAAGAGGATACAAGAAAATATAGATAATTCATTTTAATTTTTTTTTTCTACTCAATCCCAATATTTTTTAAATAAAATCAATTTTATTATTTCTGTATACGAACTAAAAGAATTATATAACTAAGTATAAAAGCTAAATTACTTACTAAACATTTATGAAAACATGATTTTTTCAAATTTTATTAATGATTTAACTATGTTTTTTGCCTTTTAAATTGGAGGCACTCTTCCTTTTAGTTCCCAAATTTAAAAAAAAAAACATTTTTCATTTCTCCAATTTGCAAACTGCTAATTTTTAATGTTAATACTATCGTTGCTCATTTGTGTATGACCACCAAAATAGCCGTTCTATATAAAGTTAAATTTAACAAAAATATAATAAACTTAAATAATCACATCACTTGATTAAATTTTCATAATAAATCAAAAGAAAGAAAAATGAAAATTTTGAGCATATGACTAATAGTGTATTTAATCTTTAATAAAATTTTAAAAAGTCATGTACACCCACTCAATCCAATGGCGCGAATTATTGTATAATTCTTAAAAGCTTTACTCAAATATAGCGTATCTAAAATCAAACAAATAAAGGTTTGAAAAAGTGCCACCAAAGCTATACATTAAACTCTTTAATTCCCAATAAATACTTCAACAAGCATTTACAGTGCACCAAATTGATTCCTCAGAGATGAAAAAGCATATAATATAAATAAGTCTGTTTACCAGTTAGCAGTAACAGCTACTCGAACATAATAAGCATAGGCCAAAAGAAATTTAGTACTAAGATTGTAGCATATGAACCACTTCATTCTAACTTTCCTGATCCTTGCGATATTTAATTAGTTCTGATCTAATATCTGTTATCACATCCTCTGCTTCATGGAGCTGTGCTTCAAGCTCTGCGATCTTTCTTTTATTCTTCGTTGAGGTCTCGGCTTCGCTTTTCTATCCACAAGAATATTTTGAAACAAGAACACATCACGGGAAAATTTTAAAGACGCAACATTCATATGAAAAATGAAAAGAAGAAACGCACACAAAGTGGGTGTGGAGGCATAATTAAAAATGTGTACATCTATTTAGGAAGTAACTTATTCTATTGTCTAAAAAAGGAATTTGGAGACTTTGACAAGATTCAAAATGAGGAAGAAGGAAAGAAATCCACAGCTGAAACAGCTCAATATTACTCTCATCCCACAAGATCAAAGACAAAACCAAAAATGTATATCTTTGACAAGTTAAAACACAATAGTTCTCTCCTTTAACTGCAGACAAATCCTCAGCTCAGCAGCCAAGTATTACTACTTTCAGAGCTTACGAAAATTACTAATTTAATATTGATAGTATGATAGTACTATGAAATAAAATAAAATGTAGGACAACTGAACTGATTTTGTAGGAACCTATTAGTACTGTTCTTAGACTAAAACTAGTATTTCATCTTTGATAACATGCAAAAGTTTACACTAAAAGTATCCATTTTATGAGATGAGATTCCCATTATAAATTAGGACTCAATACCTAAAGAACTTTATATATATATGTTTCGTGCTAAAATCTAAGCTAATCATGGAAGGCCACCTATGATAAAGCCTTAATCCAAGGGAGGCTAACTAGAGAAAGATTCAATGCTTTGCAAGACTAGATTAAAAGATTTGTACATAAGTAGTTTCGAAGTCTTTAGAGGACCTTGAGAATAGTTAGAACTACGAAATTCTAAAAAGTTAGAAGTGTTTTTTGGAGCTTCTAAACTATCACATGTCACTTTCATGTACACATGAGTAGTTCTACTCTTCCGCTTGACTCTTCAAACTTTCAAGAGACTTCTTGTGTATATTGGAACTCCCTCAGACACCATCCATGTGCTTCCCTCTCAAGTCATCATTGCTTTTCACATATAATCATTACACTTCCCTAATTTCAAGAGGTTAAGATGTGTAACCATGTTTAATGGAGATTAAGAAAGTTAACTCCCTTTTCTTGCTCCTTCTTGTCCCATAGGCTGAGCTCCTCCATTGTAAATAAGGAATCTCCTTCATTTGGAAAACATACCTTGAAGATTGAATGCAATTCTCCTTATGAGTTTTTGAGAGTTTGAGAGTTCTCTTCCCTTGTTCTTATATAGAGATTTTCTTCTCAAGTGGTGAATCACCTAGCACTTATCCTTTAATTCTTGGATTATAGGTTGCGTGTTCTACTCTTCATCTCTTATCTCTATGCATTTTTACTTTCATTTCTTTACTTGTTATTATTTTCCCTTTCCATTTGTTTGATTGCCATAAGCCATAACCATGCCCATTTATGCTTCTGCCATTAACAATTGTTTCCATGGTTTTTGTGCTTCATACACTTCCTTTGAGTTGATTAACCTCCTAAGGTTCACATCTAACTGTAAAAAGCCTCAATCCATCCATGAACGGCTAACAGTAAAAATTGATAATACACAATAATTTAAAATATCTAGCCAAACGTTCTGATAACAAAGGTCAGATCTTTTGGTATTCAGAAAATCATTCCAATGCTTCTTATGATTCAAAAGCATTATTAATGAAAATTCCAATCTCACTCACATATTAAAAATGACTTTATTTCAAAATTAAAGTTAGCTTAAACCAATGTACATAAAATTGAGTATCAATATGTTTATATTTTATACTTACTGGAGGAAGATACTGAGACAATGCAGCCTGGATGGTGTTCTGAACCTGACAGCTGATCTCCTGCATCTCATTTTGACGATCTAAGAGACGAGCCTCTAGCTCTATGCGTTTCAGCCGCTCATCCTCTAGATGGGACTCAACCTCAACAAGTCTAGCTCTTATTTCATCGCATTCTTTCCTAGCATTCTCTGTCTCTCTCTTTTGAGCATCTAATTCAGCCTGCAGCTGTTGAATTTTATTGGAGCTCGATGACGATGATGACCTTAGTTCTGCTCCAAAAGGACCAAAACCACGGACATATGATTTCTTACCAACCAATGTTTGGAAGGCAGTACTAATAATTTCTTCTTCATTTGTTTCTCCCCCTTCCTGTGAATATACTATTTGGCATCTTTTCTCATTAATTTGTTGAGCAGCTTTGTCCTATGAACAATTGATCATTTAGAGAAGACAGTGAATATCAAATCAAACTATGCAGAAAAAAAAATATAACAGTAATATGAAATTCAACTACATTGATTTCCTTAGATGCTTCGTCAATCCATTCCCCATTTCCCCTTTTGTGTGTCAACTGCCAAAAAGTCTGCATATCGGGCTCCGTTCCTGTCACTGGGTCACGCTGTTAAAATCATATGTTTATTAGCATTATAAAGAAAACTTCATACAATAAGACGTGATAATCATAAGAACAAACGCTAAGCAGAAATCTCACTGCATCATAGCTGGTTGCTAGAAAGGATTTTGACCCAGTAGTATGTTTTATCAGCTGTTTTGCCTTATTTGCCTTGTTTTTTGCACTCATTATCTGAAGATTGACATAGAGCAGGTCATGAAATTTATTGACATTCACAGGGCAGAAAGGTATATAGACGGGCATAAATTATTGTACCTCAAAATAAGGGCTGCTAAAATAATCAACCAAAAACTGCCAATCAGAATCATTAACATCACTAGGGACATGCTTCAAGGCCTCGTCCTTTGTTTCAAACTTTAAGTAATACTCATGAAGCCTGCTGCGCCAATTCTGATATAAACGGCCCGCTTCATGCAGAATAGCCTTCCGTACCATATCTGTATGTGGAAGTCTCCAATTGTTCTGTTAACAAAAATTGAACCAAAGAAGCTAATTTATCCACGCAAGCACCCACATATTTGAATGGATTAATAGAATAAATCAAGGAAAAAACAGACCAAATGGAACAGCCTTACAAAACAAGGTAAGTTTTCTCTTAAAGCACAAATACACATAACCGAGAGAAAAAACCAGAGTAATAGGAAGCTGAGATATTGTTACAAGAATAAGGGAATTGACCCCTAAGGGTCTGCACCTCCCTATCCCAAGGCACCAATTTCCACACAAATATACAAGATCCTCTCCTTTCCTCTCTTTTATTGTATTTAGGATCAAACTCAAGTGTTATTCTTTAAGTGCTTGTAGACTTCTCTAATTGAAGTTAGAGTTTGACCTTGATAACCTATGGTGCTGTTTACCAAAGTGATTGGAGATCAAAACTACTTTTTCAAATATATGATACTTTTCACTGATTTTAACTTTCTAACTACTAATCAACTTATGGTTTATTTAACATAGACTCAATGCTAGAGTAGAATGAAAGCGAGTGAGAACATTAGAATACTACATAAATGAGAAGATCCCTTAGAGACAGCAAGGCAAGAAAAAGAGAAAGTAAAAAGAAGTGAAGGGTAGTGCCAAATAGAAGTAAAAAAATTATGGGTGTCAAAATACCATTGTCCAATGAATATATATTACACTGCATGAATTTTAACAAGGCTCGAAGCACATATTTGCTGTAATACCTTTGTACATAGATAGTCACATAATTAATGGTACAACAGACAAAATTACAAAAACAGAGAGCTTATGTTAGTAAAGAAAGAGAAGAATGCCATAGCATAGGCTAAATGATTGGATAAATAATCACAAAGTAAATATCATGATCCAGATTGCAATATCAGCCAGTCACAAAAGCGGAAGGATATTTGATCACATTCCGAGGTATTCTGGAATGCAGTAGCACTAAAGCACTACTGTAGCGCCAATTTATCAACATTGCATGACCCTTGTTCATCAAACCTTTAACTACGATACGTATACCTTTTGTCTTTTCCAAAAAATCTATCAGCACACCTGGGGCACCCTCACATCCACAAACACTGTCATGCCTTTTTTTTCACTTCCACAAACTGATGATTCCTCATGCATAACAGTGTAATAGATTAGTAGCATCTTTCTAATTGAGTTTCGTTAAAACCATTTGGTCAAAGGTGAATTTACATCTCTGTTGTCATATTGGTTAAAATAAGACTCATCTCCACGTAACCAAAACTATGGAATGACACTCACGAACCAGCAAAAAAAAAAAAGCAAATCTATCCTTTAATCAAATATCATTTACAAATCATGATGAAAACCATACATAACCATTGTCATAACATACCAGAATATTTTGCACTATTGTATCCCTAGTACTTTGTGGAACCTTCTTCCACTGGCGCACATTAAGACGTGCATTCTGACGAACAATAAGAGAAAGATCAGTAATGAAATCACTGCGGCCAGGACCTATTGCCGCCAGCTTTGTAGGATGAATGAGAACATCCAACTTTCCATCTACACTCTGTTGACGCTTCATTTGAAGTGACAACCCTCTTGTCTGTCCTCTTCCCTTTCTTTTAGGCTTCACAATCGTATCTGAAACACGACAAAAAACAAGAGAAGTTCAAATAAAGCCTTATAGACAGAAATAACGACCACCATTTAAATGAACACGTCCAACTTTCCACCTGCATTTTGTTGATGGTTCTCTTGATTTATTGACTCTATTGGTTGCCACAATCCCCTCTCCCTAGGCTCGTCAACTTCATCTTAAACATACACAAACGAAAAAGGGTTGAAAAGAAGTCAGTTGTTATTGAAATAGTTCCTAGCAGTCAACGCTAATAATGACATATAGAACAACCACCGAAGTAAAAAACTGCAACTGAAAATTTTAAGACAAATGAACAGCATGATTTAGTAAATGTTTAGGTGGCACTGAATTAAATTTGCCGAAGCAGTACATTTTTTCCCAATAGCAGTATTACCCAGAGTTTTTTTTCTAACAAACTTAAAATTGCCTTTACTTAGATAAACGAGGGTATATAGCTAATAAAAATAGAACATATACTGACTAGTAGTAGCAGCTTCTTGCTCCTCCTTACATCGAAGGCTCACTTCCATCATATTTGATTGATTGCAATAGAAGTTCTCGCAAGCATTCTCTTGACAGTACTCCCCCAAACCACTTGGTCGTTCTTGGCCATTTTTGTTGGGCCCAACTGTATTTAAATGCAACAAATATTGAATATAAGACATTGATCAGTATACATGTCCTCTTCAATGTACCGACCCCAAGGAATTTGAGAAAATATATGATGATGGCGTGCTACATTCAACATAGGTAACAAAGAAGGGAGAAGCAGAGAATTGAAAGAGAGACACCAGTTAAGAACTCTGTTGACCTTAATCAACGTACCAAGCAAATAAAGAAATAAATATTTTGATATTTCCTAATATCATTGCCAAAAACTACTATAAAAAACAAAATAACACTCACTATCAGAGCTATCATGACAAACTTTTCCCATCGGATAAGCGTCTTGATATGATCAAACATCATATTTTGTCATAGGAAAATAAGTTCTATAATGCCACGTGGCTCTCCTACTATCAATACTAATCCATCAAATTTTTAAAAAATTAGAATATTTGTAAACTGGAGGAAAGATGAACTGAATAAAATAATAAATGAGAAATCAGAGCCAGGTATTATCGTAACCATACATGCATCTTGTGGTTCTTCATTGTCAAGACCAACTTCAACGATTTTAGATGGATTCATGCAACTATTCAAGATGCTGTGGACACTCTCTTGAAATTTCTTAGCCTGTGATCCTTTTGGTCTTCCCCGTCCTTTTTTCGTAGGCATACTGGTACCTGAATCACAGAGTTAATATAAACAATAGTAAGCATATGCTTCTCACAACAAAAAAAAAAGAAACAGTAAAATACAAGTATACAAGTAAAAAGGGTAATATGATAAAGTCAATCTATGTATACCTCCTTCATGTTCCTCAATAAAGTCAGGCTCAACTTTCACCACATTCAAGGGAGTATTTGGAATGACCAATTCACCATCTTCACTCCCTTTAACCTTCTTCTGAACCCTGGACCCTTTTGGTCGTCCTCTACCTTTTCTCTTTGCCATGGCACCCCAAAATGAATACTGAAACAGAAAAATCAGAAACAAGAGCAGCGTATCATTTTCTCTCACACGAAAACCTTAGTCAGACTGTTTAAAGTGACATTTGGCACTTATAATCATTTCAATTCACCAGCCTAGAACAATCAATTTATCAACAGCTGCTCTGTATTCAATTTCGAATTCTCTACAGTCTACACGGATGACTGGACATATAAATGCTCTTACAACCCACCAAAAGTTTTCATTTTGCAACAAAATTAACTCACCCTCGCATCAAAACTCAGCAATCCAGGCTGCAAACAGATATTATCTTCAAATAATTATACATTATCAAAATATAAGTATACTATAATAGAAAACTAGTGACCATTAAAAAAGCCAAATGCAACTAGCACAGGTATTACATATACACGTCAGGTGAGAACTATTGGTTATTGTGAGCAATGATCATTTAATTACAACCAATACAATAAATAATGGAATATTCATCCTCATTTAACAAAAAAACTCCAATAGCATCAACCAAAAAATGAAAAAGTGTTTCTTCACTCCAATAGATTAAACTTAGTCCCCTGCAACATCATATCGCATAGAGGATCAGCATCAAAATTTGAAGGAAACCATGAGTAGTGAAAAGTAGCTACTTCTACGAAACAGAAGTCCCACACACTGGATGAAACTAAAAAGAGTGAAATTGGGGATTTCATATTATTTTTTAAATGAAAACGATAAAGAAAGCAACAAAATTCGAGGGGTTTTCTGTGTTGTATTGCCAAATGCATGGTACTCATAGTACTTCCTACGTAAACTTCAGTGATGGGTTTCGTCGTGTCGACGAGAATTGAGAAGCATGCAATGGTCGGAAAGTGCAGAAGAGGCTAACCGGCCGGAGACAGCGGCGGTCGGAGAAGGCGATAGGCAACGACGTCAGTTTATGAATGCGGTAAGGGTTATTTATACAGAGACTGAAACTCAAAAGTCTGGTAAACAGAAAATGTAAAAACGAAAAGGAATGAGTTCAGTAAATCACTTAATAAAATACGTTGCATCATCAATTGTTTTTTATTCACAGATTTTACGTTTTTATTTTATTTTCGTATATCCTAATTAAATTTCAAATGAAAAAAGTTTAAAAGTTAAAATAGCTCGTTTTCATTTTTAAAAC